TTTACGGGGTTAAGGGTACGTTACCGTACGTTACGTCGTACGGTAGTAAGTTAGTTACGTAACGGTAGTACGTACGTACGGTACGTACGTTCTCGGTACGTCTCTCTCTCTCTCTCTCTCTCTCTCTCTCTCTCTCTCTCTCCATGGAGGGGTTTTAAAACTGGAACCATTATTTAATAAGTAAATGAAGGTTTATTGGATGCAGTGAAAAGAATAGTTGTAATGGTTTTTGATATTTTGTCTGGTATTCATTTGGTTGCAAAATTTTTCTGGCTTGGAAGGAGCAGGCACAGTGGGGGCAAATTTTGGTTAGTGATTAGGTTTGGGGAGCAATGTTTGGCTTTGTTATACTTTTCTAGAATGGATACATGTATTTCTAGATGAGCTTCTCATGGTTAACCTGGCCAGATACATCAGGGGCTATTGTCTGTCATTTTCTTCTTGTGCTCTTTGTTATATGGTTTTGCTGCCCTGCCCTATCCCAGATATGCTGATGTTTCATGCTTCTTCTCTTTTATTTTTATATGAAATGGTTTACATCCAGGCTTCCTTGCTTAAAGACTTTGAAGAAAAAAACTTAATTCGTGGTCGAAACCTGTTCATCTAGTTCCTTAATGTCTTTCTTTGCTATCATGCCATAATTTTTGTGCAAGGGAAATCATGCTTTGAAACAATATGGTAAGGAAATTTAGTAGTGGCGAGGAAAATAGAGTTGTATTATTATATGTTGGATTGTGTGAGTTGCGGCTATGGTAGTGGCAGTCGCATTTTTTATGGAATTAGAGATTGTTGGCAATATGACCTTTCAAGGCCTTAATGCCAACTATCTCTCCCTTAGTCCCACTGAGCAAGAGACTCTTGGCATTAAGGCCTTGAAAGGTCATATTGCCAACATTCTCCCATTTGGCCTTTTAAGGCCTTAATCGGATCTCGCTCTCATTATATGAGATGATGGAACAACATAACACATCCATACATATGAAAGAAAGTAATACTCATAAGTAATACTCATAAGTAAGAAATACACAACTTTGTCAACCTCCTTCACCCCATCCCATGCACATGCCTCATGAAATCATTAGCCCACAAGCCTTTAGTCAGAGGATCAATGTGCATAGCCTCAGATAAAATATAACCAACTTCTGCCTCACCAGCTGCAATCTCTTCTCTCACTCTATGGTATTGGGCTTTGATGTGCCTTGACTTGCTATGGAACTTAGGCTCACCTGCCACGGCACTGGCGGCCTGATTGTCACACATGATTCTTATGATTCCATGTTGGATAGGGTTGAAATAAAAATGATTGAAGAACTTCTTAATCCAAATGGCTTCCAAAGTTGCGGTACACAAAGCCAATATTCGGCTTCCATAGTAGATAGGGCTACGGTGTCTTGCTTCTTGGTGTGCCAAGATATGGTACCACCTCCATATAGAAATAGGTTGCCCGATGTGGATTTGGAGTTATCCGGGTCCCTTTGATAATTGGAGTCTTAATACCCCAAACATTCCCATAAGTCAACCCATAATCAATTGTTCCTCTCAAGTATCTCATGATTCTTTTAACGGCTTTCCAATGCTCTGATCAAGGATCGCTTTGAAATCGACCTATCAAACTTTGAGCAAAAGCTAGGTCGGGTCTAGTTCCCATAATTAAATACATTAGATAATCCACGACACTCCTATATGGGACCTTTTCCACCTCTCTTCTCTCTTGATCATTACTAGGTTTCATATTGACATTCATTTTCACTCTCCTTTCCACGTGTGTATCTATGGGTTTGGATTTAGGCATCCTAGGTCTCTCGAGAACCTTCTTGCAATATGCTAATTGAGACAATTGAATTGTGCGAGCTGCCCTATCTCTTATAATTTGAATTCCCAATACATATGAAGCCTCTCCCATATCTTTCATATCAAAGTTATTTGATAGCATTGTCTTTGTATCCCTTATATGGTCTAAGGTACTACTAGCTGCTAGAATGTCATCCACATATAAGGTTATAAAGGTGATGCTGCTCCCGTTGGTCTTATAATACACACATTAGTCATCATCATTTGCCTTGAATCCATATCTAATAAAGGTTTGATGGAATTTTAGGAACCATCTTCTTGAAGCTTGTTTCAAGTCACATATAGGGATCTCTTAAGTTTGTATACTAGCTTCTCCTTACCGTTCACTACAAATCCCTCAGGTTGGTTCATAAAGATTGCTTGTTCTAATTGACCATTCAAGAAAGTGGTTTTCACATCCATTTGGTGTAGTTCTAGGTCAAGGTAGGCGGCTATGGATCTGATTTTTCTTATTGAAGCCATTTTAGCAATGGGTGAGAAGGTATCAAAATCATCTATCCCTTCCTTTTGAGTGAACCACAAGTCTTGCCTTGTACTTTTCAACACGTCATTCGGAGTTAAGTTTCTTTTTGAATATCCACTTACACCCAATGGTTCTATGGTTAGGTGGTAAGTGGACTAACTCCCATACATGGTTCTTTATAATCGGGTTTATCTAATCTTGCATAGCTTCTTTCCACAGTTTATGATCCAGGCAAGACATGGCATCTTGATAAGAGTAGGGTTCATCATCGGGTTCCTCGCTAATTCTTTCATAGGTTTCTCCAAGGTAAGTGAAGAATTCAGGTGATCTCCTTATTCTCTCACTTCACTTAAGTGGAATGGGTTCAGTCTCTTTGTTAGGTTCAAGCTCATGAAAGTCCACTCTCTTTTGGGTTAGATCTCGCACAAGGAAATCATCTTCAAGAAAATGGGCATCTAGGCTTTCAATCACATTTCGATTCAAGGGGTCATAGAATCTATATTCCTTCCCATGAGTTGGGTATCCTATGTAGATGCACTTTTAGGATCTAATTTGAATCTATTTTGAGAGGGAATGAGGATATGGGCTGAGCATCCCCAAACTTTAAGGTGTCTAATAGAGGGAGGTCGGCCCATGAAGAGTTGGTATAGAGTTGATGAGACATCCTTAATGGGAGTTTGATGAAGGACGTATGTGGCGGTTAGAATTGCCTCTCCCCAAAACTCTAATCCAAGATTAGTGGTACTCATCATGCTTCGCCAACTAGGGTCCTATTCCTTCTTTCGGCTACCTCATTTTTTTCGGGTGAATAAGGCATGTTGGTTTTGTGGGTAATCCCATATTGAACACAAAGATTATGGAAGGTTTGGGACGTGTATTCCCCACCTCTATCGGATCTAAGGATTTTAATGGTTTTACCTAGTTGATTTTCAACTTCCGCTTTATATTCTTGAACCTTATTTATGCCTGTTCCTCATAAGATATGTGTGACCAAACTGGGAGTGGTCATCAATAAATGGAATGAAGTACCTCATGTGCCCTTTGGTTGGCACACTCATTGACTCACATACATCGGAGTGGATTAGATCTAAAAGTCTAATGACCCTTTCGACTTTTTTATGTGATTTCTTTACCATTTTACCTTTTAGGCAAGCCTCGCACTTATTATGTAAATTACCACTCAAATTGTGAAGTAAGCCTTCTCTCATCATAATATGCATCCTACAAGGGCTAATGTGGCCTAATCTCTAATGCCATAAAAGAAATTTTTGAAAATCATCACCCAAGTTAGCAAACTCTTGCTTCATTTCAACTTAGAAAAGGCCTTCTATCAAATGGGCTACAAACACAAGATCACCTTTGATCGAACCATCATGAACATAAACCTTCCCTTCTTTAAACATCAACACAAACCCGACTTGATTCATCTTGGAGATTGAGATGAGATTCTTCCTCATCCCGAGTGCATAGAGGGTGTCCTTAAGGATGAGAGTCTCATCATTGGTGAGCTCCAACATATAGTCACCCTTTCCTGAGGCCTTCTCCATTTGATTTCCACCCATATAAAGACTATGGGTGCCGGGTTTGATGTCATTAAAACTTCTAAAACCTCTCATCTAATTGGCCACATGAATAGTGGCACCAAAATCAAGCACCCATGTATCAACCCCCTCATTGACCATCAAAGTCTCATGAACCAGACAAACCTTGTCCTTCCTTGGTCCACCACCGATTTGACCATGAGACTTACTGACATTAGGCTTAGAAGTGAAGTGAGGTTTTTGTGGTGGCGGAGGAGGAGGTACCTACAAAACTTTTGGGTGTGGCCAAACTTTTTGCACCTCAAGCATTGCACTCGTGAATAATCTTGGCTAAATGGCCAAACCGTCCTCGCATGAATCATAGTAGGTGTGGGTGGCGGTTTGGGCCCAGTCGTGTGGCTAGGAGTAAAGGAATGGGACTTAGGAGGATAAGGGCTAAATAGATAAGGGGGATATGGCCTAACACTTTGGCCTTGTTTGACCTTCCCTTTCCATTCTTTACGTCTTCTCTTCTTATTTTGTGTTTGAGCACTCCTACTAATCCCAACATTACAAGCAACCAGATTTGAAGAAGAAGGCAAAGAAGAAGAAATGGGAGTAATAAGCAAGGGAGTAGAAGAGGAAGATGGTAGT